TTCCCACCCCCACTGCCCCCACATCCCAGCCCTGACCCACTTCCTCCCCCCAGCAGTGAGCAGCCGTCAGCACAAAGCTCTCTTCCACCAGGAACCCACCGCAGCCCAAAATTTTCTTTCCATGTTGTATACGCAGATGGGCCATGTAGGGCCTGGAGTGGGGCCAGGCTTCTCTTCCCTCAATGATCTCACCTGGGGGGAAACCAGGTTCATGCAAAGGGCCCCAGCTCCTCCCTGGGCTGGGCTGGGCTGGGCTGGGACTTAGTCCCCCCTTGAAAAGTGGAGCCTCCACAGCCCCAACCTACCCCCTTGTTAGCTCTGCCCCACACTGGGCCTCCCCTGGGGCCGGAGGAGAAATCAAAAGCTCTGATCTCTCCGTGGCAGGAACTGGTGCCAAATGCACCAACAATGGGTGAGTCATTGCCCGGACTTGCCACAACAGCATTAGTGGCCAAGGTCGAACCCGAGCAGGCCTGAGAACTCCCAGACAGGGACTGGCTGGTTCCAAGGGTGGGGAACAGGACCCGGGGTCTTTCCCAGTGGGTGCAGCTCAGAGCTGCTGTCACTGAACCAGGGGATCATTTTCTTCTTTTCTTCGGCTCTTCCTTCCCTGCACAGTTGCTGACACCGAGGTTATCAGCACTGGGTGAGACAATCCCCCCCCCCATACACACATCCTCTGTCACAGACATCACCACTGAACAGGGTAGCAACATTCTTTCATCTCTGCTGGGGAGATCTTTCCCACCACCTCCCTGCAAACTTTCTGCCTCAATTTGCCTTTCCTCAGGATCCCTCCCTCAATCCCCTGGTGCTGCCTCTGTGTCACTAATCATGAGTAGTGTGAATGGTGCTAATTTGGGATAAGGATTAGATGTAGATTGTTAATTATTTCATTTAAATATTGCTTTTAATGCCTTTTAATGCTTGTAATGCCTTTTAGTGTCTTTTAATGTTGTTTTAATTGCTTAGTACTGAATACACATATATATACTGATTTTAAAAGTGCTCCTGAATTGTTAAAGGTATGGTTAAGATACTGTGGAAGACTCTTTTGTTCTGTGAATGCTGAACGATATGCATATTGTGATAAGGCTTGATCAACCGGATCACAGTACCCTCTTGTGACATTTGTGCATCTGGTGTTGTCAATGCTGGGAATAGAGAGACGGGGGGAGATCATATGGGGATCTACTCCCCCTTTTTGAGGTTGTTTCTCTTCTTTGAGAATCACCTCCCACTGGGTTTTAGGAGACTGTGCAGATCAGTATCCCCACCTGTTTGTTCATCATGATGCACATTTTCCACCCAGGTTCTACTTCCCAGAATGGCGATTTAACTGGGTGAAGGGACATTTTATTTGTTTGATACCTGGCTGAGGCATCAGCTAGTCTTTTGCCTCTGGGGAACTGGTTGGTGTTTGTGCCACACACATGAAACAAGTCTGAGTAACACCCTGCAGTATAATCTTATCACTTTACCTGCCACGAGTATTTTATTGGAACGATAATGGTCAGCAAATTATGAGTTTTTAGGTGATACTTCACTAGGCACACTTGGAACAAAATTTATCATAATGAATTAGGAACAAAAGAGATCAACCTGTTACAAGCCCTGAGGTAGCACCCACAAAACCCAGTCCCCAAGACCCTCCATTCTCCCCAAAGTCCCAGGGGGCCCTCGACCCAGCTGTACTCACCAGCCCAAGTTGCAGGGTTTAGGAGAAAGACCATGGTGAACAGAAACAAGATGTGGACCTGCATGTTTGCAGTCGGTGCAGGGATGATGCATCTGCAGCAGAGCTGCAGGGTTTGTAGACTCAGTTTAGGTAGAGGGATTCAAGGGGGCAGGAAACGTCACAGTCACCTTCACACTCATCAAAATGCAGTTTTCAACCACAAGGGCTGGGGGGAAGGATAGAACATGTGTCAGCCCAGAAGCAGGGTCCCTGCACATCTGGCTGGATGATGCATAACTGGATGGAGAAGACCCTAGTGGAGATGTGTCCAGCAGGGTCCAGGGCTGCTTTGGGTACCAGCTCATACCTGGGCACATCTGGGCTCCCTGCTGGTGTTTCTGGGATGGCGGTGGGGGTGGGGGAGGGCAGCGACTGATCTCAGTGATGGGTGGGAACAGGGCCTTTTGATCTTTCTGAGGGTGGGGCCAGACCTGAGCTGGGTGGGGCTGGACAGAGCAGGCACCAGCCCCCATCCCAGCAACCTCAGGGGGAGGGTTTCTCAGAAGCCCCCCAGGGAGTCTGTGACCACGTGATGGGGATGGGGCTGTTTCTGTAACACCCAGCAACTGGGCACTGTGACTGTGCAGAGGGGAAATGACACAGCGAAGAGACTTGTAGACCCTGCAGACCTGGCTTGTAGCTCCCTTCAGTATCACCGTACACCCGCTCTAACCACTACACCTCATGCCCTTCCCAGAGCTGGGGATAGAACCCAGGAATCCTGGCTCCCAGCCACTATCCTGCTTCAACCCATAGAAACCCTCCCATTCCTGCCACCCTCCCAGTGTTGAGTACACTTTGTGCCAACTGGCGAGGCTCTCCCTGTCCTTCCCAAGTCCTTCCAGTCCCAGCCTCAAAAAACTCACCACACCAAAGATCCTGCTGCCTTGGGGTTCAGCCCTGCCCGGTGTGGGTGGAGACAGTGTAGATGCAGTTTCCTGAGAAACTCCTCTCTACAGCTAGTCTCTCCTGACCAGCTCCCCAGCCATGATGAGCAGACAGATCCTCCAGGAGCTATATGCCTTGGCTCCTTCTGCAATCCATATGTCTGTGTGAGTGCCTGAGGGCAGAAATGAATGTGAGTGAATGGATGTAGGGGTGTATGTTTGTGTGTGTGAGAGAGATAGCTGGTTCCCTCTTTAGTTCAAACCTTTGGTGGCAGCTTTATTTTTGTAGTGCATACAGTGGAGTGCTAATTCCCCATGCAATAAACCCATGATAATGTAACCCTGGGTGGTCTCCAGTGGGAATTTGTTGGTGTACCATTATCTGGTGAAGCATGTGGGTCAACCACCACAAGGGGACACTAGTGATAGAGCATGAGTGGGCTCCAGTGGGAATGTTTTGGGGTGGCAGAAGCCTCTGGAGGCAAAGTATTTTAAGGTCTTTCATGGGCCCCCCAGCTTCTGTTTGTGGAGTGCCAGAGTAGGGAACCGCCTGGACATGGTGGCAGCGGTGGGATGTTTAGAAAAGGCCAGCGTTCCTCCCGTCCATCGCAATACGGCTGATAGTGTTTGCGCTGAACTTGGAACCCAGGCTGGACTGCACTTTGGTGCCCCCATTCCCACACAGCAGGAAAGGCCACGGACAGCACAGATCCACACAGAGATGGCTGGATCCTAGTGATATGTTTTTCCTACTTCCCAGGTCTGACAGTGCCAGTTTAGCTGTTGATCAGCTTCCCAGCACTGGCAGACAGAGCTCCAGAAGACAAGGAAACACTCGGGGGATATTAAACTCCATGTTGATTCCAGGGGTCACAAAGTGGCCAGTGACATTAACAAGGGTTCAGCTGGTGAGGGAAAGGGAACATTGACTACCCAGTGTGGCAAGGTCCTTGCTCAGGCCACTTGCTCTGGGACACTTTCTTTGCCCACCAATCAGCCGGGGACCCTCTCTGGTGCAGTTCCCCCGTGCCTTTTATTGTCAGCTTCCCACCACCTTCTATTTACAGACTTTGGTTTACAGCCAACTCAGCCGGCCTTTCCTTCTGCCTAGGGAACACATACAGCCACTCCCTGGCCCCTGGCTTCTCCCCTTCCACTTCCCCTCTAGCTGCCTTATCGCGCCCTCTGGCTACTGAGGCCCACACCTGCTTCCATTAGCCCTTCACCCTGGGCTTGTTCAGCTGACTTTAATCGGCCTTTTCAGCCAGGCGGTCGTGGCAGAGTTCTGGCTTCACCCGCCGTCAGTCACAGCAGATAACCGCTGGAAAAGTAATACAGCAAACCACATTTCCCGTAAGTCTTGGATCTTTTTCCAGAAGTGTCATAACCATGAGGGCTGGCCAAGACCTGGGGACTAAGGGGTTAACTATGGCTCCTGTCCCAAGCCAGGTATCTGGTCAGCCAATAACAAGGCAGGTTGGGATTTCAAACTGGGACAAACGAAATTTGAACTTTTCCCTCCTTTTCCTGAGTGTAACAGGTTGAGTCCTGTGTGGAGTGCCCCATGCGGGAGAGTCAAAGTCCAGTCCTTGGATGAGGTTCAGACCTCTTCTTTTACCCCCTCACTCGGGTGTGGTTTGCAGAGGGCTGGAGGAGAGAGGGGCCCTCCCTCTCCTCTGGGTCTCAGTCCAGGGACCGTATACATAGCAGTTACCTGCCAAGTCTCAAAATCAGTAATGGTGGTTATGTCTAGACTACATGGCTCTGTCAACAGAGCCATGTAAACTAGCTTACTCGACATAGTCAATGAAGCGAGGATTTAAATAATCCCCGCTTCATTAAAATAAAAATGGCCACCACGTTGTGCTAACAATCAGCTGATCCGTCACAGCGCGGGAGTCTAGACGTGGATCAGTTGACAAGAGAAGCCTTTGTCGACTGCTCCCTTATGCCGCATTGACCATGTCGGGTAAGCTAGTTTACATGGCTTTGTCGACAGAGCCATGTAGTCTAGATGTACCCAGTGATCCCATCCCTGGTCCACTTCCCCAGGGTGCCATTTCATCCAACCCTTCTCTAGGGCCATGTTGCCAAATTCACCTTGTCCGGGGTTCCACAGAGTTGTTGCTGGTTAGCCTTTTGCTGCAGGATCTACATCTGCTCAGTTTTGAGGGCTCAGCTCCCACTCAGACCTGTCCACAGTTCTGGTATTCCCCAGTCATCCTGTAGGTCTGGCCTGGGTTGAGCTCCAGGAAGGAACTGACTGGACTTAGCTAGCACCTCCTTATATAGCAGCCTGCCGTACCCTGATAGGCTGCAGTGAAAGTTGCCCCTCTACCCTGCTTGGAGGACCTCTCCACTGCTTCCACTGTTGGCCATGGTGCTGAAAGGCCTCCGGCAGGAAGGTTGGACTTTGTCCGACCCATCATGCTGAGTCAGAGCTGTTTCTTCCACGTAACGGGAGATGGGAAGGCCTGTCTCTCTCTCCAACAACGGACTTCTTATAAGTGTCACTAGGGCAAAGTCTGGATAATTCATCAGGTTTTATTGTTTTTCTGGTTTGGGAATGTGGAATTGATGACTGAGCTGTTCAAAGTGTATTTTTTTTCTTTTCCCTTTAAAAGAGTTTTCCTTTTGTAACTACATTTGAGCCCATGTGGATCCCTCATGAGTATATCAATTGGTGGCTCTTTTTCATTTAGAGTATGTTTTCATTCATGCTTGCAACTATGGTATTGTTTTGATAACAAAATCTTGTTTTCTTTTTCTAATTAACGGGTATTGTGTCCTGGTGTTATCTTAAGGATGAAATTTCCCAAGTGATTTCTTCTCTGTTTTTTTTTTTACAAATACTTGGGTGGTGGCAATGTTTTTTATTCTCCAAAGTCTGGGTATTAAAATTTTGGGCGGAGTTTTTGTACCAAAGCCTGGAGAGATCAGGCTTTGGGGTGCTTTTGTGACCCTCTACTTCTCCATTTGTCATGCCAAACTGAGGAACAGCCTTGACAGGGAGAGTGAAGAGTCTATTATTCAACATTTCCATCCTATGTATGCATGCAGGACCATCCTTACCCATACGCAGAATATGCAGCTGCGTAGGGGCTCCCAAAAATCTGGGGGCATTGCTAGATCTTAATGTCCACCCACCCACCTCTTCCAGTCCCTGTTTGGGGCTTTGCTTCCTCCGGAGAGGATTAGCTTAACTCCTCCCCCCAAGAAATAGCCTGAGACCCACCAAGACTCAACAAAGCTTACTTACTTACTTACTGCCCGTTACGCCAATGGCGCATAGGGCAGCAACAAAGTCCTTCCACTTCTGTCGGTCGCAGGCCAAAGCGCCTATTGTTCCCCAAGTCTGATGATGGTCTTTTAATTCTTGTTCTACTGTTCGGTGCCAGGTTGTTTTTGGTCTTCCTCTCTTTCTCTTCCCATCTGGTTTCCAGTGGAGTGCAATTTTCGTAATAGATCCGTCTTCTCTTCGTAACACATGACCTATCCATCGCCAGCGTCTTTTCATAATTATAGTGGCCATGTCTTCTTGTTTACACTGAGACAGTAGATCTTCGTTGGAAATTTTATTTGGCCAAAATATCCTGATTATTCTTCTAAGATTCTTGGTATGGAATGTAGACAATTTAGTAAGGTCTCGTTGTATCATGCGCCAACATTCTGCTCCATAGAGAAGCACTGGAAGAACACAGCTGTTGTATAGTTTCAGCTTAGTGCGCACGCTGTACTTTGAGGATTTCCAGATGTTATTCATACTGATAAAGGCATTTCGTGCTTTACTCAGTCTATTCTGAATGTCTTGCTTACTTCCACCATCTGGGGTGATGATACTACCCAAATATACAAATCTATCTGTAAAGGGAAGATCGTTGTTATTGATCTTGATGGGGGTTTGTGTTATAGTGTTCAGAGTCATGACTTCTGACTTCTTCTGGTTTATCTTAAGGCCAACTTGTGAGCTATATTTATTTAATTTATCTGTTTTATCTTGCATATTCCGATGAGTGTGAGAAAGAAGTGCCAAGTCATCGGCAAAATCCAGATCTTCAAGTGTAGAGAAAAGC